TTGTATTTGTGGAATGTTGCTATGAGTTGAATCATCTACACTTAAAGATTTGAGTAGGTTATTCCTGATAAATCATGTGCTTAGCAATTAGTTTAAAAATAATATCCCTAGCACTTACCCAGCAGCCGCAGTTGCAAGTAATAAAATCCAAAGCAATCATCCCCATCTGTCTTATAAGAGCTGTGGGGTTTTTGCCATCGCTGTCTCCATTTGAGCTCACTTAAATGATGCAGCTTGCAATCCCCTTCTACCTAACAATTTACAATGCAAATAGTGTAGTTTCTGTACTGCATATTTTTCACATATTAATATGTGTTCATTGTATGAATTCCGCATTAATAGTCTAGATGGAAATAATTTTCCTATTATTTAGGAGACCTTGTGGTCTCCTATTTTCTACTTTCTACTACTTCCCACTACCTACTTTCGCCCTTTCTTTTCCCCCCAGCTTCCTGGATTAGTAAAAGGGTGATGGCCAGCCCAGCTAGTCGGGCATTTCTTAGTTTCCTTTGCAAGCTCTTTCTCATGGTATTAGGGGTGAAATAATCTGTTTTTCCTGAGTTTTACATTATTGGCAGGTTCTTTTGTTTCACAAGTCAGTTCACCTCTTTTACCAAGTTCTTGAAAACAAGCATACGTTTTCAAAAATTCTGCTACACAGTTAGACACAAGTTATTTTGCCTCCCTTCCTTGGCAGTGCTTTTTCTGCTTCCATCATCTGCCTCTGTTCCCTGTAGAAATGTCAGGAACAGAGACTCTTGCAGGTCATGTGCCACTCTGGATGCCTTTTCTTTCCAGCATCCTTAGCTGTAGCCATGCCCTGCCTAGCTCAGAGCTCCCTGGTGTTTTTCTGGGGTCGTTTTAGAGCTGGGTAACTTGTACAGCTGGGTTGCTTGGCTTGATTGCCCCAAAGCTTTCATATTCTGTCACTGCCTAGCCCGCTAAGGGGTATGAAGTTAACAGCCGGTTTAAAAACTTACAGGGAAAGTTCAGTCCCATTTCCCCAGAAACTGCCCATTTTGATCCCTTGGATTTGAGAAAACAAACTAAAAATTACTGGTGATAGACAATCTTTTTGAAATTCTGTGTCTCCTAAATTCTGCCTCAGGTTATTTACCTTTCTTGTGGTTTAGGTGGTTGTTTGATAATTATAAAATTTATTTTCTTTACTGTGAGGATATTTTCCAATTTCATGAACTGTAAAGCTGGGTGGTCTTGAAAAGCTCACAGATGAGCTGGGTGGGTGCATTATAAACCAAACCTAAATGCTTTTAGCTGCACACACATTTACTTTCTCTCTTTCATTGCTCATAGTTATGTTCATGCAGTCATTTTCCTTAAGCACGTAATAAAAGACATGTATGTGAGCATTGTCACAAAATCATTGTTGCCCTTAAGTTGCCTCTCAGAGTGCCTGCGCAGGAGGCACATTCATATTCTTATAATTACTTCTTAGCTTTCTCTACCTTGATTAAAAATCATCTGATGTTTTAAGATGCCTTATGTGCCATGGGACTGACAGCTCGTTTTTCTGCTGAAGTTTAATTTTTTTGTTTCTTACTCTATGGTGAGATGTGGACAGTGCTGGGTTTGATGCTTGTCTACAGTGTGACCCAGCAGGGCATGCTCTGCTCTGCAGGAGAAATGCAGCTTGCTTTCTTCCAACACCGCTCTCCCCTTACCTCTGGGTCAGGTGCTTGGCAGACAGACCAACCATGGCCTCTTTTAGTCTGCTGCACTCAGACTGTGTGGAACTTAGAGCAAGTGCTGAGCTGTGTTCTCTGTGATGAAGAGCGCTGTATCAAATTATAAGCATCTGCTTCAGGCAGGAAGGTATAGCATCTGCCCATACAGGGGTCAAGGTTTAGCTGTCCAGTTGCTGTCATGCAACAAGAAAAAATTACCGAATTAAAATTCCATCATTTCAAATATTTTTGTTCCATCATAAACTTTCTTGTAAGAGGACTTCTTTTTTTCTGCAAAGCAGCCTATTCATTTTATATTAAATTTGGTTTATAAGAGTGGGGACAGCTGGGAGATTCCTTTTCCAGCCAAGTGGTATGCTGGACCGTCAGACCCAGAAGGAAGTATATTCTGAGTAACCAACACACCTGGATAGTACAAGAAGATAAGAGACACTTAGGTATATGTGGACGCTCAGTGCCAAATGAGGACTGTTAGGAATTGGGGAATTTTGAAGAGTTTTTGCAGAGTAACTGGATTTATCCTGCAGTATGCTCACAGCTGTGTAGAATGCTATTCTTTTACTATATAACCATTCCTCCCCCTTTATGAGCTATTTACCCTGTAAATACAACCCCCTCGGTGTAGTGGCTAAACCACAGCGCTGTCAACGCTGAGATCCGGGTTTGATTCCTGGTCAGGGCCACTCCCCGGGCAGATGGAGCTCGTTAGCCCTGTAAGGCAATCCATCTACGTCCTGAGGACCTCGCTGCCACCGTCCAAGCTCGCTTGGCCCCGGCAGATGAACCTCAGGATTAAAGGGTGGGCTCAGTTCCGCGCACACTGTGTCTCACCTAAAAAATCCAATGCGCAGGCTGGAAGGT